GTGGGGCTGAGGGAGCTCCAGAACCGTGTTTGCAGGAATGGGGGAGCACTGGGTCGTGGCTGTGGGGCTGAGGGAGCTCCAGGACTGTTGCTGCAGGGACAGGAGAGCTCCAGGACCATGGTTACAGGGCTGGGGGAGCCCCTGGGACTGTGGCTGCGGTGGCCGAGCAGGGACAGAGCCGCCCTTGGAGCCCTCACTGACGCAGCCAAAGGGCCGGTTCTCCACCCTCTCCCTGTGCTTCGGGCAGGGGAGACGCTGCCCGAGGTGGCACAGGCGACCTTGGGGGGCCGCTCGCTCACCCCCTTTTCCCGGCCCCCCCCCAAGGTCCGTGACTCGCTCCTACTACCGCAACTCCGCCGGGGGGATGCTGCTCTTCGACCTCACCAACCGCGCGTCCTTCGAGAGCGTGCGGCGCTGGCACCGCGAGGTCACCGACACGGTGCAGCCCTCCCGCCTCGTCTTCCTGCTGGTGGGGCACAAGAGCGACCTGGCGGGGCAGCGCCGCGTGGGCCGCAGGGAGGCCGAGAGGCTGGCGGCCTCGCTGGGCGCCCAGTACGTGGAGACCTCGGCCAAGGACGCCTCCAACGTGGCCCTGGCCTTCCAGATGCTGACGGTGGCCATTTACCAGGCGCTGCAGACGGGCAGGTTGGTGGCCACCGAGGCGTGGGACGGGGTGAAGAGCAGCGTCCCCCTGCCCGTGCCGCCCAAAGCTCGGCTGTCGGAGAAGGAGGAGAAGAGGAAGAGGTGCTCGTGCTAGAGCTGGGGACGTGCTGGGATGTGCCCCCCTGCTGCACATCAGCTTGCCAGGACAGGGTGGCGAGTGCTCTCTCTGCGAGCATTGTAATTAACTGTAAGAGCTGTTAAACGGTTTCATTTTAACAGTTCAGGCTCAGTATGGAAGATTTGGTGGTTAATGGAGCGGTTTTTGAAAGGACAGGGAAATAAAGTAGCAATAAAATAAAATGAACGTTGCAAGGACCCCGAGGCGTGCTCGTCCTCTGCACATTCCAGTGATCAAAGTGCCCAGGACTGTGGCTGCAGGGACAGGAGAGTTCCAGGGTTGTGGCTGCAGGGACTGGGGAGCTCTCATTCCTTCAGCTGCAGGAAGCTCTCTGTGCTCCCTGCCTGCTGGGTAACTGTTCTGTAACCATGGGGCTGTGCAGGTTTGGCCATCACACGGTGATCCCACCTCAGTGGGGGTGGAGATGCAGCAGGAAGGAGCAGCACGGGAGCATTAAACACCCCTGGTCATCCCTCTGCCTGCCTGTGTTTTCCTGGGGAAGCAGCAGTGCTTAGGCTGCCCTTGGAAAGGGTGGAACGCCCAGGTGAGACTTCAGGCACCAGCAGAGGTGGGTGTCACCCCATTCCCCTCTTCTCTCTCCTGTACTGACCAAGTCCTAAATCATAAAGCCCTAAATTCTTTAAATCTTCCCAAATACAATTAGAAATAATAGATTTATTATATAAATCTCAGGTAATATCTGATTATCACTCTGGCTCAGGACCCGCCTGAGTCCAAAGCAAAAATCCTTCTGGTCTAGAAGGGGCTGGAGGGGAAGCCACAGGAGGAGCAGCTGAAGTTGGGTTGCTCAACCTGGAGCAGAGCAGACTGAGGGCAGAGCTCAGAGGGGGCTGCAGCTCCTCCCCAGGGGCAGCTCCCATCTCTGCTCTGGGGAAGCAGGGACAGCACCCAGGGAACAGCTGGAGCTGTGTCAGGGCAGGCTCAGGTTGGATCTCAGGGAAAGGTTCTTCCCCCAGAGGCTGGTTGGGCACTGCCCAGGCTCCCCAGGGCAGTGGGCACAGCCCCAAGGCTGCCAGAGCTCCAGGAGGGTTTGGACAATGCTCTGAGGGACAGGGTGGGATTGTTGGGGTGTCTGTGCAGGGCCAGGAGTTGGACTGGATGATCCTCATGAGTCCCTTCCAGCTCATATTCCATGATTCTGCTCCCTTTAAATCCCCAGGAGAACTCCCACCAGGATAGCACCAGTGACACAACCCCTGCCACCCCTCTGCAGTGCTGCCTGAAGAGCACGAGCCCGTGCCAGGAGCTTAGATTAATAATTTCTTTATTCATGTAAAACAAACGCAAGTATTTATATAAACACTGACATTACAAAGTACTGGAGCAGGAAGGAGGAAACAAAAAACCTCTACAGATGCTTCTAATACTGTCCCACACACGACCAAATGCTCTGTCCCTTGGGTAATCAATCACTTGTACGAGAAACCACTTTCAAGTCACAAATAAAAGTCTCTCCTTGAGATACGTCGCGCTCTGAGGAGGAACAAGGAAAGGGGCAGAGAGTGTTTTTGGCAGATCTCCTCGTAGAGTCAAGATATTGCTGCACCATTAATAAAAAATAGATGCTTCTCTGTAAAGCACTAAAAAAAAACATCCCACGGGTGACATCGTGGAGGCTTCAGCGGAGAGGCAAAATATCCCAAACTGCACTGGCGGCGTCTCCCAGCTCTGCCCAGGGGCTATTTCTTGGTGGTTTTGCGGATCAGTGCCATCCTCTGCAACAAGGAAAGGGAAAAATGTGGGAAGCTGAGCAGCTCAGCGCAGGTGACTGCCCAAACCAGCTGCAGCCGTGCAGGAGTGAAGCATCCCAGATGCTCTGGGGACGCTGCCTGACCTGCTCCCACACAGGTCTGTCAGGTCTGCTGGAATCCTAATGGGGTCCCAGGCTGGAGCCAGAGGAGAAGGAAGTGTCTGTGCTGCTCCACTCGGCACCCCAGGGCAGGGGGATCAAACCCCACCTCAAGGCCCCCCCTCTGTGCCCAGTGGGAGCTGCAGCATCACCCAGGAACCCTCCAGCTCCTTCCTGGCTCTGACTGTGCACTTCAAAAGCAATGGATTAATTCAGTTTAAAGCAAAATTAAAGGTGTTTTCAGTCCCTTTGCACAAAGACAGAGACAAATCTGCCAGGGGCAGCTGAGAAGTGCCTGTGTGCAGCTCCCAGCTGGTTTTAACCCTCCCAAGCTGGGCTGGCCCTCAGACCTGTGCTCTTAGGGCACAGTCAGCACTGCAGAGGAGCCACAGCAAGCTCAACCCTCTCTGCACTAACAGGCCAGGAGGCTCTGGGAGTCATTTCAAGCCCAAACCACTTGGAGGAGGCCACAATTTCACCCCCTTCCCCGTATCAGCCACGTGATTCCCAGTGTTGTGAGGGCTCCTTTACCTGTTTGTGAGCTTCTGTAGTGCAGGCTTTTTTGTAGGGCCTGATTTCTTCAGAACCAAAGCCCGGGATCCACATGTTCCACTGGCGCTCTGGAATCACAGAAGGCTTTGGGTTGGGAAGGACCACAGAGCTCATCCAGTTCCAACCCCCTGCCACGGGCAGAGATGCTTTATCCAGCCCAACACCACAGCCTGACTTCAGGGAGTGCCCCTGGGTCTCAGCTGAGGGGAAAAACCACAGGTAAAACTCACTCACCGAGGTGCAACTGGACGTCTTTGACCTCCAGGGTGTTGGACTTGCGGTGCCGCGCGAGCTGGCAGGCGGCGGTGACCACGCTCTCGATGAAGTCATCGGCGATCTGCAGCAGCATCTGGGGGGAACAAGGGCCACAGCCAGCCTGGTCAGCTCAAATCATGTGGGAGGGATGAAAACGAGCCCTCAGAAGTTGGTATTTAGAAGCGTGGAATGCTCCGAGTTGGAGGAGACCCACAGGGATTGTGGAATCCAACCCCTGGCCCTGCACAGACACCCCAACAATCCCACCCTGTCCCTCACAGCGTTGTCCAAACCCTCCTGGAGCTCTGGCAGCCTTGGGGCTGTGCCCACTGCCCTGGGGGGTCTGTTCAGTGCCCAACCAGCCTCTGGGGGAAGAACCTTTGCCTGAGATCCAACCTGAGCCTGCCCTGACACAGCTCCAGCCGTTCCCTGGGTGCTGTCCCTGCTCCCCCAGAGCAGAGATCGGAGCTGCCCCTCGGGAGGAGCTGCAGCCCCTGCTGAGCTCTGCCCTCAGTCTGCTCTGCTCCAGCTGCACACCCCAAGTGCCCTCAGCTGCTCCTCATATGGCCCCTCCTGACCCTTCACCACCTCAGTGTCCCTCTTTTATGTCCCTCTGTTATGGTTTTTGTATCTTTTCTATATCGTGGTGCCCCACACTGTATTTCCCCCAGGACTGTATTTCACAGCTTTTTGCAACAGACCCATTTTGGCACTGGGACACAGAAAGACAGGGACGCCTGAAGGCTGCAGGAGAATAGAGAGGTGTCAAATGAATCGTGGAAATGTCTGTGAAAATACCCAGATTAGCTCTTTCTGCAGCCCCTGCCGTGGGTTGGTACCCACCTCCTCCACATCTTCATCCAGCTGCTCGTTGGGATCCACCTCACGCACCAGGTCCTGCAATTTCTTCTTGGTTAAAACCTGAGGGTGTGGGAGAAGAAGGATTTACTGCCCTGCTACTGCCCTGCTCCAGCAAAGCAGCAGCACAGCCACAAACACCCCCTCCCCCTGTGCTCCCAGGGCCCGAGTCACACTGTTGACACAGTCTATCAGCTCAGGAATGGCAGGGATAAGGAATATCAGGTGTTAAGGAGTCGTTTTGGAGCACCAGGGGTTGCTCTGGGCAGAAAGGGGAATGCAGCAGCCAGGATAAATATCTCCAGCACCAAACTGGCACCAAAATGCTGCTGGCAAGGGTGGGGGGAAAAGCAAAACTACAACTTTTAAGAGGAAGAGAGCAAGTGTAAGCAACATATCAGTGACTAAAGCTGTGCTCAGGGCACGAGGGAAGTATTTCCATGGCTCTAGTGCTTATCAGCTTTAGTGCTTCTCATGGAAAACAGAGATAGGTGAGTGCTGGGTTATCCCAGGGCAGCAGCCAAACGTGGCAGGGAGCAAAAACCACACTGGGCTTGACCAACAGGATGCTGAGTCTTAAAAGATCTGGATGGAAGTTGTCAGCCTGCTTGGGTGATCCAGGCACAGGTGGGAAATTCCTCCCTTTCCTGGTTCCCTCGCTGCTGTGCCTGTGTTTGTGGGGGGTCTGGTGCAATTCCTGAGAGCCCCAGTGAAGCCATAAGGGAGCAATCCCAGGGCAGCAGCTTGTTTCATGCACATCAAAGCCTCCAAAGGTTGTAAGGGACCTTAAACCCACCTTATTCCACCCCCTGCCATGGGCAGGGACACCTTCCACTAGCCCAGGTTGCTCCAAGCCCTGTCCAACCTGGCCTTGGACACTTCCAGGGATGGGGCAGCCACAGCTCCTCTGGGCAACCTGTGCCTCACCACCCATTTCCCCCCAAATTCCTCCCATCTAAACCCCATTTAAAAAGAATTTCCCCCCAGTATACATTTTCCTGAGACTGCAAAACCCACAGCATCCATTCCACCGGCCTGGAAGCAGCTGGAAGAACTCCAGGAAGAAGTTCTGAACTCCAGGAAGAAGCTCACTCAGTAACTGATACTTTAACAGACACAAAGTATTTGCTGGTGATTTAAGGAGGGAGAAAGGAGCCAGGGGCAGGGCTGAGCATCATCCCTGTTGTCCTGGAGTCAGGGATGGAATTACCTGGTTGCTCTCAGGGCTGAGCCTGCCCCCTCCACTGGGTGTTCCAGGCATCTTGGCCACGGTGGTGCTGTTGGCCATGGAGCTCTGGGGGGGGGTGCTGGCTGGCTCTGGCTTGATGGAGGAGAAGTTGGAGAGGTTGATCAAGGTAGAAGGGCCAAACTGGTTCATAATCTGCTGGGCTTTAGATTTTAGGTCATAAAGCTTGTCCAGGTCCTGCTTCTTCTTGGGATTGTGGGGACCCAAACCAATCAACTGGGAAAGGAAAGGAGAGCCAGGGTTAGAGGCAGACAGGGAGTTCAGTGGGGTGGGCAGGTCTTTGTCCTGAGAAAACTGGAGTTTATAGAAGATCAGGAGTCTCTGGACACAGCAAGAAGGGAGAAGTGATGTTTAAGTAGACGAGAAAACCTTCCCTGGTGTGTGGAAAATGAAGTTTCCACAGGCCAGTGACAGCAGCACTGACCCACCCCCCCCCCCCCCCCCCCGGCCTGACCCCCCCAAGTCCCACCCTGCTCAGGGCCTTCCTGAGCCCACTTCCCCCAGCCAGCTTTGAGGAACAGGCCACACAGAGCAGATTTAAGTGCAGCAGCACAGGATCCCTCATCCCCACACTGCAGGGGTCTCAAGAGAAGGCAGGGCTCGGCCTCCCTGGAGTCTCATTTTTGGGAGCACCACGCTGCCAGCCCGGTCTGCAGCGACCCCTCCACGTGGGACTGACAACAGCAGGTCCATTTTGGGTGCTGAGAGCAGAGTCTGGGAGCTCAGAGGGGCAGGAACACGTGTGTGTGTGTGCCCACACCTGCCCATCGTTCCTCCTGCACTGGGCAACCAACAGCCACAGGAAAAGGACTGGGATTTATGGATCTCCTAAAGGTGAACCAGAAGTGGGCTGTGGTTACACAGATCCTCCAGGTGCCTGAAGTGTCTCAGGTTCTTGGTCACAGACTGACCGGCTCCTCCTCTGTTCCACGGCTGGGAGGCTCTAAAGCTCAGGCTGGGTGAAGTTTTGAGCTGTCCTCACTTTGCTCCATGACAGGAAACTCATCCAAACCCTGCACCTCCCACTGCCACAACCACCACAGGCAGCAGGGATGGGCCTCTCACAGGGAAGGAGAGTTCAGGGAATGGTTTGACGGCAAAACCCCTTGTGGAAGGGGTGGAAAACAGCTGCTGAGGCTGAACTTACAAAAGAAGAGTCTGTTTAACCAGCTTTACAGGATGTTCTCACAGTGTCTGCCCCCTGAGCCACAAACAGACATTTCCCCCTCATCAGAGCAAGCCTGGTTAGTCTGGATTAGTTAAACCCACACCAGAAAGCACACAGGAACACTCAGAGGCAGCTGCTTTAGTGCTTCACTCCAAGGCACACTCATGCACCTGCAGACAGGGATTTATACCCCAGACACCCTCCTGCACTGCCCTCAGCAAGTCTCCAGCTCAGTTTTAACTGGATTAACGATGGAAAACCACGGCACTCACCCCCTGAACCCCCTCAGCTGTACTTGGGGCCCAGGGGCTCAGCACAAGACCAGGAGGGACCTCCAGTCTTGGTTTTAGCTGGAGCTCATCTCAGGCTGTTCACCCCACTCCTCACTTCCCAAATCCACCCAGCAGGAATTCCTGCCCACCATGCAGGGCAGGGAGCACCCAAACCCTGGGGCAGAAAGCCCCGGAACCCTCAGGAAGAAGCACAAAGTGGTTTTGCTGGTTTATTCCAGGATCTTACCGCACCCTCCATGTGCTGCCAAGATCCCTGGACACAAAACCCGCGGGATGAGCAGGTTCCCAGGGCAAATCCCACATGCCAGCCCCGTTTTACTTACAGCTATCTGAGTGTCTAGATCTTTAATTACATCAGCAACTGCTGTGGGCCCAGAGGGTGCAGAGGCCATGGCCCACAGCCTTCCCAGGGTGTCACCAGCCAGCAGGACCTACTCTGGCCTCCTCCTCTTCCACACAACTCCCAATCCTACAGGAACACCAGATATTTTTTTTTTGGTATCACCCATCCTTTATAAGATGCTGAGAGGAAGCAGTTTCACACGTTGTCCTCACTACAGGGCCAAAGGTTTCTCTGACAGATCACACAGTGGCTGCTGCAGAGGAGGAGCATCCCATAGGATCCTGAAGAAATATATGGCCAAATTCTTCCTTTTTCTGCCAGGAAATGGGAGTATCCTGGTGCCTGCTGGCGTGCAGGTGAGCCCAGGCCCCACAGCAGCAGGTCCCTCCAGGGCAGGAGATTTGGGGGCAGTGACAACTGGGACTGGTTCAGCTCTGGGGCAGCACAGGGTTAGAGCTGCAACTAAAATCCATGTTAATGCCTAACAGCACATTCCCTGGAAGGCTCAGGGGGCTCCCATTTCCATCAATCACAATAATTTTCACATCTAAATACAACCACAGAATCATGGAATGGTTTGGCCTGGAAGGGATGTTAAAGACTACCCAAGTCCCACTCCCTGCCATGGGCAGTCACACCTTCCACCAGCCCAGGTTGCTCCAAGCCCCATCCAACCTGGCCTTGGACACTTCCAGGGGCAGCCACAGCTTCTCTGGGCAACCTGTGCCAGGGCCTCACCACCTTCACAGGGAAGAATTTCTCCCCAGTCTCCCATCTATCCCTGCCCTCTGGCAGTGGGAGCCATTCCCTGTGTCCTGTCCCTCCAGCCCTTGTCCCAAGTCCCTCTCCAGCTCTCCTGGAGCCCCTTTAGGTACCGGAAAGAGCTCTAAGTTCTCCCTGGAGCCTTCCGTCCTCCAGGCTGAACACCCCCAGCCCTCAGCACTCAACACCCCCACGGGGATGGGACCGAACCCCCTCCCCGTGCCGAGCGCGCCGGGCGCCGCGGGGGCAGCGCGAAGGTCACCGAACGCCACCGGCACCGCGCAGCGCGCCCGCCCCGGGGCTTCCTCCCACACCTGCAGCCGCGTTGAGCCCCCCGGAGGCTCCGTGAACCCCGCCCGGGGCCCCCCCCCCCCCGTACCTCCCCATGACCCGCGGCCGCTCCGAGGCCCCGCCGCGCTCCCTCCGCCGACACCGGGGCGAGCGCTTCCGCTTCCGGGCGCGCCTCCGCCAATCGGGAGCGCGTCCGCCCCCTGCGCGCGCGCGCGCCTCCGCCAATCGGGGGCGCGTCCGCCCGTGCGCGCGCCGAGGCGCTCCCGCCCCCCCCCCCCCCCCTTTCCCAACTGCGGGCGCCCGCAGGGGGGGGGGGGGTGCGCTCCCAGCATGCCCCGCGCGGTTTGCATAGCGCCGGCCATCGCAAACGGCGCGGGAACGGCGCTTCTTTTTAGGCGAAAAGCGGCGCGAATGGCGAAAATAAAGGGAGAAAACTATGGAGAAAGCATGGCGGAAGCAGAGGTACGCGCATCGTTTAGCCGGTCGTTCCCGTGCCTCGCCCTGACCTAAGAGGCGCTCCGGCGCTTTGCCCCGCGGGGCGGGGGCGGGCGCAGCTCTTAAAAAGGGCTTCTGCCGTGCGTGGCACGGGGGGGCCTCGCGCCGCCCCCGCGGAATCGACATCAAGAGATTTCGGAAGCACAATTTTTGTGAGGTGGGGTCGCCGGTAACCGCCCGTTCCGGCGCCCCGGTACCGGCACTGTGGAACGGCAGAGGCGTGGGGGAGAGGGACGGGGGCTGGCTGGGTCGCCGCGGTGGCTCCGACAGTGCCCCATTGGGCCAGTTCCGGAGCCGCGGCCACCCTTCGGTATCGGGCGGTGCCTGCGGTACCGGGACCGACAGGACGGGACGGACGGACCATAGTTGTGACATCACGAACGTACGGGACGGTCCCTGTGACACCACGGACCAGTGGGTGATGCGGGACGGTCGCTGCGACATCCCGGGTATGCGGGATGATCCCGGCCCGGCAGGATGGTCCCTGTGACATCCCGGGGCACATGGGATGATCCC